GCAACAACTTAATCTAATACTAAGGAGTGTGTTGTCAAGCCACAGGCTGACCGCCGGGAATAGTCTACCTCACTAATGGTTTATTTTTATTCCACTATTATTTTTAGTCAGGAGGAACAGAAAGAGAGGTGCTCCATAGATAGTACTACTACATACTAGCAGCCTAGTACTCCATCGCAACCCATGATTTTCCCATCTCATTGAGGGTAAGTGCCTATAATTAGCGATCAGCAAGTGAGTTTCCAAGTCTCGACGAGAGATCGGACTGGCCAACCATGCTTCAGGGAACGGTAGAAGGCGGAGCTCTCGTGGGCCGCCATCGATGTGAAGCCGTGGGGCCACAAGTTTCATCAGGGGGTTTCGGTTGGTCAGTGGGATCGAGGGATTTATCGGGTAGGGCTCAGGAGAAAATGAAGTCAATCATCAACATCGCCCATATTTAGTTACGTAGGTATGCTTGATTTATTTTACACAGGGAATATATAACAGGCACTAGGAATCTGAGAAAACAACGTCAACGACGCCTCCTTTCCCCATAACGTTCATCATCCCGGCGTCGCTCATGGTCGTTGTAGCGACGACGGTCTTTATCGCGATATTCCCCTCGTGCTGGGCTTCGACTGTGAGACCGGTCACGGTGTCGTCTCCGATAGGTATCTCGATAGGAGTCTCGCCGAGGACTTCGGCTAACCCGTCGGTCACGATTGGAACTTCGTTGTGGACTCCGGCTGTATGGCCGCCTGCGAGGGGCCTTGTCGCCCTTGTCAAACACTAGGTTATAATCGTTCTCTTCTTCACGAGCGTTATCAGACGCCCTATACTGGCGCTTCTTCTCAAGGCTTGCTACGCCGCCGAACCCGCCCCGCTGACCACTGCGTTTGGAGATAGTAGCGTTCCTCCAGCTTTCTGACAATTTCGACACCTGCATGACTCATCAGCAACGCTAGGCAGTAAACAGAGACTCGTAGACTGACACTTTGAGAGAAATCCACATGAATGCGATGATCATCAATTAGCACGCCCTGCATCTTGAAGTAGGCTTGTTCACAATCTTTCTGGTTTTCGAATTCGATAAAAGCGTACTGCAAGCTATCCCCTGTTCGTTTGTCTCGAATGACCTCGCATGATAAAATTGGACCAAACCGGCTGAAGATCAAGTGAAGATCCTCGTCTACTGTCTGTTAGCGTATGACTCTCCACAGGCGTAAGAGGACATTTCCGAGGACGGTAAACTCATACCTTGAGTGACAGGATTCAATTTGCAGACAAACAAGACATTCTCTGGCGGCTTAACCTCCGCAAATGGAAGATCACCAACCATTTCAAGGGTCAGCGCCTGTGCTCTTGCTTCGCGCTCTCGCCGTAATTTCTCCATAGATTCCTCGTCCATATTATCGTCGAGCTCCTCATCATCGGCTATTCTCACAGTAGCTAGCTGCGCCTTTGACGGCAAAGGGCTCTCAGCTGGAGTCACCAGGCCCGGGGGATCTTCGAATGGGTCGTCAAGAATAACCGTATGTCGGATACGGATGTCTTTGAGAGGTCGACCCCGGTCGTCTATGAAGGCTTCATTTACCTTCTCAAGGACATCGAACCCCTCCACAACCTTCCCAAAGATCACCGCTTTGCCATCCAGGTAATCAAGATTCTCTCCCAATGTGACAATGAATTGGCTCGCAGCGATGCGCTGATCGGGGTCATGCGGCGAAGGAACTGTGGCCATACTCACTGTTCCTCTTTCATCGTGCTTCAACTTCCGTGGAGGCTCGAGCGAAAACGTCCTCTTCGGCGGGCCTTCCAGAAGGCCCCAAATCGACGAACCGCCATCGCTTTCCGAGGAATCAGGTCCAAGGGGATCGCCGGTTTGGAAAGTGAAGTTTTTCTGGACGCTGTGGACGGGGGAGAAATTATAGTACTTGACTTTGCATAGCTTCAGGAAGCTATAGCGGAAGAAAATGGATAGCTTAGTTTCGGGTTCAGCTACTCGACATTATACGCGCGCAAGATACGCAAAAGCCAGGATATCACGTGAGAGATCAAGTGGACTTACTTTTCGCAGGCTTTAGGGCACTCGTCGACTAGTAAGTCAATGACAATGTCACCAAGGGAAGTCTCCAGGAGGACGCTCATGGCGTTCTGGTGGTCACACGTGAAGTGGGGATGATCGGCCGTGCGTTTGACAAGGGTACAAGAAGGCGGAGAAAAATAAAGCAAATATTAGAATTGGACAGAGTAGGCCAAAGTGAGAAAGGGGCCAGCACAGCAGTCAAGAATTAAGCTATTGATCGGAAGCTTGACCCTGTGGAGGAGAGATGATATGGTTGAAGAATTGACGGTAGTAGTATCTTTTAGTCTCAAGGCGGAAAAGTTAAGGTGCGGAGCCGCTGCCACCAAACAAAAGCCAATTTGGTCCGTCGATCCCCAGCTAGTCGGTAATTTGGTATAGGTAACTAAATGTACATACCGTACACGAGAGCCATGACCATTTCTAGTCGGCTGACCCTACCCCAGTGCACACTGTTCACTCTACTTCTATTTTCGAAGGGCTTACAACACCCTTCGAATCGTTGAACCGGCACCCCTTCGTGTAACTAGAACCCACTTTTCAATCCAACGGCAGGCCTTCCAGTAGACCCGTTGGATGTGAAATTGGGCGCGCAAGGTGGACATCTTACTCAAAGGTTGGCCAAGATTGGTAACTGTTTATCATGACAAATGATCCGTTTGGTCAGTTCTTCTCCTGTGAGATGCTTCGATACTTGGAGGACAAAGCTCAATTGTGACCCCCGTATGCTCTTCCACGGAGTGGAAAACGTGCTTGGCATCAAGCAAAAAAGCATATGAGGTAAACATTCTTGGTACACTTGTTAAGGTACTACTGACTGTTCACTTGTTTCTCAAGTTCCACAGCAGAAGCGTTGGATAAAACGGTCTACTGCAGCTTCTACCATTTCACACCGATTAGCAACTCTGCGCCGCAAAGAGAAAAGGGAAAACACATGGTTGATCTTGATAGAATTTCTGTTCTCTTCTTCCCTGTCTCACCTTTTTCGGCCTCGCAACCGTCTCATTTGTTCTTTCATCAATAATAGTGTATTTTTTCTTTTCTTTCCCTTTCTTTTCTTTTTGTACCCCTTGATAATAATTAGCCCCAGCGCTAACATATATCAAGCATGTTTCACTGGTTCCTGGCACCTAGTGGCTGGTCCATTTGTCAACATGGGTCCATTTCCGACCAAACATCTTCAGAAGAAAGGAAAGGATGTCTGCAGACTGCCTCGGATCTTTCCTTCTAAATGGCTCATTTAGTCCCTTCGTTTCTCCTTCATTACGTCAGCGAACCTTGGTTCGGCGTGATTGTGATCCTCAATTATAGACAAGGAGCTCATTGGGTTCTTTTGTCTGCTGAATGGGTCTGCTACAAACGAAGCTAATCTCACCAGGGAGCCTTGTTCGCGTATGTGCAGACAAATGTGAATCTGCTATGTCAGGTACATCCTTTCTGTTCACCCCTTGACCTTTGTACATAGCAGAGCTTTCTTGTCCAAGATTCCTGCCATTAATAATGAATGTTCTCATGTACTTTGCCTCACTATAACGGTATCCCTATTTCTCTTTTTATGCCCTTTACTTTCTTCGGGTTTGTTTGATTTATTCTGTACTATCTTTGGGGATGGCATTAGGTGATTGGAGAGTGATAGACACGCAGCCTATGCACTGACGCAGATCCAGCCCAGTGACCTGGACACAGGTTTCAAGTCGGTTCATTTATGTCAGGGCTTCATTCGGGCTCAGTCTTGGCTACTAAGCCACATTTGCTTTCGTTGGGACTGGCATGATCTAATCGCGCCGAAGCATCACCGTTAGTCTTGTGGCTAGGATGTGCTAGAGCTATCCGAGACACCAGCGTAATACTCTTGCGCTAGGTCGTTTATCAGGGCCTCTATTATGTGTTCAGCAGTTCATCACTCATTTGTCGAGGTAAAAGCTGGGCTTCCGAAGACTTTCATAGCCGACTCTAGCTGCCGACTCTTCTTTAGGCCATAGGCGGCGTGTCAAAAGTACCAAGATGTTTGTTTGACGTTGAAGACGGCACGAAGCCCAACCATAGGTCTCTAACACCGCCATTTAATGAAGGCAAACAATCTTCATACTCGTCTCGGCCAACCCACGGGAATGCAGTTTTGGAAGGCTTTCGCAAACGTAATCGACTGCTGTTCGCTCGTCGTCAAATGTATATGTTGAGGTTGACGCCAGTCCTCACTTTAAGATCCATTTATGGAGAGAAATGGATCCACTTGAAGATGGCCGTGATTCAGGGAGAAAAGTCTGTGGAGACCTGGTCGTGGCTATTGGCTCAGCAGAGCTCAGAAAGGTTTCCGGCTCTCTCAGCCTGACTTGTTATGGCGACTATCAGGTCATGTCCACTCGTGCAACGTTACTTTGTGAAACAAAACCTCTTATAACGCCGGGAAATTCAGTCTGTCGTCTGTCTGGCTGACCTTCTACCAGGGTGCTTCTAGGGTCCCGGCCGACTTGACATCTGCCTTGGATAGAGTAGACGGAAATTTGCATAGTGCAACGAGAAGGTCAGGTATCAACTTAGCCACTTGCTCGAGCCAGCAAGTCAGTTAGGGGCCCTTTCTGGATTTTGAGCTCTTCCGTCGAAAAAATATACATTTAACGGACCAACAGAAGAGAAAAGATATTTATTTTTTGAAAAAACAAATACTGATAAAAGAGCAATCAGAAAATTAAGCCTGACACATTGACTTAAAACTGACATCGCCTCCGACTGAATCCCCCTCACCCTTCCCCGGTCCCTTTTCCAATGCGCGAAGATAGGCGGAACATGTTGGCCACTATCATTCTCGGTTCATTGGCTTTTGATGCTTCCGACAACCTCTGATTATATTTTGAATTTCCCGTATTTATTTTGACTTTATGTACGTCTCAGGACTGGAACCAATGCATTTCCTTCGCTACTGATACTTGAAGTAATGGCACGTTCTTTCTACACCCCGGAAGACGAGGTCGGTTTCGACCCCCAACCTCAACAAGATGTACTTTCGTTATCACATTCGACGCAGGCTAGCAGCCAGCAGACGGTTGTAGACAGAATTATTGGACCCAATATTCCAATTCCGGAGGGAGAGAAGAGTCGAAATGCCACCAGACGACGGATTCCCGTTGCAGTGAGTTCCTTTACTCCAGGAAAGGGATAAATAATCTTACATCTGCAGTGCAATCGATGTCGAAAACGGAAAATCAAGTGTAGCGGTGATGTTGGTGACGGCCAAGGCTGTTCAAATTGTCGGACCTCAGGAAATACGCACTGCCAGTTCTTAAGGGTCAGTCCTCTTCACCGATTTATGGATTCCCTTGCGATAAGCTAAGATCCAGCCAAGGTCAATTCATCAATGCTGCAGACCAAGGCTACTGGGTGGCCGTACTCCTTTATGAACGGTTCACTGTCTTCAGCTCATCAGAGACAGGGCACATACATATCCTCAATGGCTACAAGGCAAGAGTTGTTGTCGGCGAATCCCTCTGATTTCCGCGTTACTTCGCTCCCACGCCCGTCAGCCTTTGACATCAGCTCGACCGAGCCTCAACAGTCCTATAGTCGCTCAAGCTTTACTCAGGATCATATAGCCAGTTATGATGAAGAACCATCGACTATTTACGGTTCACAGCCTGCAACTTACGGGGTGTCCACGACACTACCTCAAGGAGCCCTTGGAGGCTACTACGAGGTCCCATGGTCAAAGGCATGTCATTCTGGCCTTAACGTTACCAGGGGAGGGATTTTGCCCGACCATGAAGCGGAGGGTACGTTTCACCATCCCGATTACACTTATATGATATCGGCGCCGGGAACCCACTCTACAGATACGACTTTTGTGCCCTCAATGGTTGCTCTATCATCTGAGGAGCAAGGGGCAGACCGGACACTTCCCACCCCCAGTGGGCGGAACCAGCTTCAACTGGGTCTTTCGGTGCTTCCGACATCGTCCAGTGCCATTTCAGGGCTTCCTCAGCAAGACTGCAGGGCTGGACACCCCTGGGCACCAAAAGCTATTGTCACTGCCAACAACGCCCGGCCGATGAAGCAATTTACCCCCGAACCTTTCAACATCAGTCCTCTAAACAGGGCAAAGCCACCCCCATCGAACGCGCAGGAGATGGTGCTTGGATATTTACCAATGACATCGGCTAGTGCTTCGTCATCGTTGATGCCCTCCTGTGGCACGTTCGCTCGATTGAACCCAGCGAATTCCGGTGAAGAGCTGCAGAGAAATGAGGAAGCCCCAATGCGACGGCCGATCTTGACTGACAGTGCCCGCGTTTCTCTTATGGATGATAGCTCCAACATCTACGGTTACTGCAGTTCTGAGAGGAGAAAAGGACCCAAACCAGGCACTTCCGGGATGCTGATGAACGGACTTCCTTACACGCGACCTCCCGAGCAACTTCAAAACACACCCTCTTTAGCATTCAGCTTGCCGGTAGCAGACGGCCTTTCGGGTCCCGGGACAACCACAGAAGCACATCGGGCGCAAGCTTTGAGTAACCCGGGGGGCTTCTATTCCGAGGCGTGCTGAGCGGCTGTGCATGTTACTGCAGCTCAAGCGCTCTGACCTGCTGAGCAGCACATTTTTACACGGCGTTTCGGTAGAGTTTCATTTCGTTTGTTTCTACTATTTGTAATTGCGTTGTCTGACAGCCAAGAACTGGTGCAAATCTTCATCTGTTTGTACTCTTACCGTCCCCCTCCCCCCCGATTCCCTTCTTGGCCCTCCGATAGTTCTGGGTTATTCCAAATACCTCTCCTGCTTTGTACACCCTTCAATATCTTCTGTTTTTATTTTCCCGGATCTCGGTCCTGGAAAACCAAAAGTTACACTAATATCGAGGTAGGCAAGGACTGTCGGGCTTGTAACTTAGCTTCTTTCTTCCGTTCTATCCTTTATGGGAACCATAATATGAGGTCTAGGCTAGGCCACGGTGGGAGGCATTTTTGAGCGAACGGTGGCTTGTTTGAAATCCGTTTGATCCTTGTGTCCATTTGGCGATTCTATTTTTGCTGGACCTTTCCTTCCCTGGTCGAGCTTCTTGTGCTTTTAAACCTGCGTGACTCCAACTGCAGCCCTGGAACCCGTAAACAACCATCATTTACAAATATTTAATATCGATACACAAAACATTCAATAGTCTCTCTTTGATCCTATAGCCGTCACCAGACAACAATTCGAAGATAGATGCGAGGCATTTCTCCATATACGAAGCAGATCATGTTGCTCGTGATCAGAACCTTGAAAGCCAAGGAATATTAGAAATAAGATGCACCAAAATCTTCGCTTTGTTCCCCAAAGCTATTTTCTTATATCCCTATTCAAGTAAGAGAAAGCCAAACAAGGCTGAACCTAGTTATTGTCTCTACACCAATCGTGTCCAGTCCTGTGCGCCCTTTGTCTACCTAATCTGGTTCCCATTTACACTAGGTACGACGTATGTATATACGCAATGGACCCAGGGACAATGGAATTCGTCTGTAGAGAACAATATCGAGTAAGTACAGCAAGTATATCCGGCGATAAAGAAAAAGGAGAGATCCTAATTTTTCAGAACAGGAACAGAAAGACAAAGGGGGAAGGAAACGATCATCAATTCGGAGCCGACTCGGCCTTGTACAATATCTACATCCATGAATAAGCTAGGGAGGATTTATCCCGTCTGAGAGATGGTAGCCGAAGGGGATCAGTGGTCTCCCCGAGACAGCTCCTACTAGTTGACTGACATAGTTTGAGATCGGAGGGGTTCCTGTGCTACACTACGGCATCTATGGGGGGTTTGAGATTACCGTGATTTTGTTGGGGAGGTTTCATCTGGGGGTGAATTGGAGTACAGGGCATTCCGAAGCTTATTGGTCTGCTAGCGGTGGATTTAGACTCCCCTTTACTAAATAAAATATGATCGGGGAGACAACGCCAATACTAGAGCCGAGCAAGCTACGCATCGAGCACCAGAACTACCACCAAGGAAGGCTGCCAAGGGGGGAGCGATGCACGTTATAGACATGAACCCATGAATGCCTGACATCTCACAAGCCTTGTTGCCTGGGAACTTGGTTGGAGAGGAAGAAGTGAGATCCCCATCGACAGTTGTGAAAACCCAAAAAAGAAAAACAGGAACAAACCCTTGTATAGTAAAAGCACCGATGTAAGTAAGTAATGTGAAAATCCCAGAGTTGTAAAAGAAACATTTTTCATCCACCAGCCCGGAAACAAAATAAAGTAGAAAAGATGAGATATAAGAATCCAGAACCCCCAAATCTCAAATTTGATATTTTTTTTGTTTCTTTTGATTGTGATTGTTTGCAGTTGCCCCCTGTCATCGTCATGGCATGATAACTATATTTGCATAGCATAGCATACATAGCTTTAGTATGGTATGGTGTATCGCATATGCGTATGCATATGCAAATGTGAATGCGAATCGCTCAATCACCACCACAGGGTTATCATCAATAGCTTTAGCACTAGCCCCTGGCCGCAACCAACAATCCTTCCCATCCGATCCATATCCATCAGAATTCGACAGGTCGAGGGCGCGCTTAGTTCTTGGACTTCTTGGGGCCCTTGGTCTTGGCGGTACCGCGGAACTTCTTGGAGCGGTTCTTGCGCTGCTTGCCTGTATTCCGGAAGAAAATCATACATCAGCCCATGCCTTGTTTCGATACCCAGATATACCATATCCAGAAGGGAAGAAAATGCATACGCTGCTGTCTGCTGGCCTTCTCGATCTTCTCGGCAGCTCCGATACGGACGAGACGGTAGTGAGGCTCGAACTTCTTCAGGGCCTCCTGGGAGTCGTAGACGAGGGCGAAGCCAGTGCTCTTGCCACCACCGTATTGCGTACGGAAGCCGAAGACGGAGACCTGGTCCTTGTTGGCCTTGTACAGGTCGGCGAGCTTGCCGCGGAGCTCATCCTTGGAGACGTTGGCGCGGTTGGGGTGGAGGACGTCACTGCAAATCATATTAGAGATCATGTTCAAATCATCGTTCTTCTTTGCTTGCGAATGCTGAAAGTTCCGATCCATCACTGCCAGTCCTCCTCTTTAAAAGATTATGGTACCCCCATAATCAATATCTCTCCAGAAAAATCACATCCCCATAAGAACCCCCTCTTGATCCAAAACTTCTCACACCAAAAAAAAAAAATTCGTCTGCCCAAGAACAAATCGCCCCATCCCAAGTCGCCCTCGGAAGCAAGATTGTGAACAGCGGAAAGAGGAAAAAAGAGGGAGCTTACACGACCATCTGCTTACGAGCAAGCAGGGGGTTGCGGATGAACTTGCGAGTCCGCAGGGTAACGGGAGTGTCGGCCATTATTGCGGTAGCAGCGAATATCTGCGTCGACGAGGACAGGAAGTTGGGGGGGATTGTCGAAGTCGCTGTCGTTGGCGGGCTCGAAGTGGTCGGTCGTCAAATCCCAAAGTGACAATTTTGCTTGTTGTGCATGTGGGCTCGCTAAGGGCGCACTAACCCGCCTTCGGTAGGTCTACGCACGTGACATTCTTATCCGCTATCGATTGATCGTCCCCTCATTTTCAATCGAGTATATCATTTTTCTGGAACATTTAAAAAAAAAAAAAGATCTCCCCAGAAATGTCTCTGGATAAAGAAATCCATTCACTAAAGAAGCTCGCCGCGCAGTACTCTCAACAACTCGACCTGACTCATCTCGCTCTCCCCAATGCCTCCACTATCGTCCATCCCAACATCCAATGCGCCATCTATGAGCTGATGTTCAACGAGGCCGCAGCGTGGCCCCTCCCTCCAGTGGGCTATCGCACCCGCGTCCTAAAGACGATCATATCACGGATTGAAGAGGGAATCACCGATCCGGAGGAGGATGTACGTCTGATTCTAACCTCCTTGTCCTGTACGCAGAACCCATTTCTAGAAATACAGATGATAGTTATTTCCAATCAAGATATACACCATTATACGTTTCTACCAATTGAATCATCCACCCTTCATAAAATAACCATTAACAAGTAATACCTTACTAGGAATTAAATTCCGACCTCATCGAAACCTGGACAGATCTCATCTCCCTCCCCAAACCGTCTCAAATCCAGCAAGCCCAACAATTAACCTACATCAAATACACCGCCCCCACCACCACCACATCTCAAGACCCCCAAACAGTGATCACCTCGGAATCGCGCGGCCTGATCTACTCCTCCGGCACCACCGGCTTTCGCACCTGGGAAGCTTCCCTCCACCTCGGAACATACCTCTCCACACCCACTGGCGCAGCCCATGTAACCGGTAAAAGGGTGATCGAGCTCGGTGCGGGAACAGGGTTCGTGTCGATGTATGCGGCGAAGTACCTGCGGCCGCAATTTGTGCTTGCGACGGATCGCGAGGGGACACTGATCGAAAATATGAAGGGCAGCAAGGCGAGGAATGGGTTAGGTGGAGAGTTTGGGGTCGGAGCTTGGGAATGGGGAACGCCGTTGGGGTATCCGACTGAAGACGATACCGAGAGTATAACAAGGGAGGATCTGTGTTTTGATGTTGTGCTCGGTGCAGATTTGGTACGTGACGTTTCATCATTCATCCTATTTGGCATTCTTGGTTCGACGGGGTTAATGGAAAGTAGACCTATGACACAGACTTACTTCCTCTGCTTTTCGCTACGCTTCATGACCTTTTTGATAACTACCAGGCCCAAGAGTTCATTCTCTCAGCTACACTACGGAACCAGAAGACTTTCCAGGCGTTTCTGGACGCTTGTGGTATGTGTTCCCTTCAATATTCCTGCGTTGGTGCAGGGTTATGGAGTTGACTATTTCGCAGACAACAACCGTTTCAAAGCAGTGTGCCTACCATATGAGTCGCCGCAGACGGAGAACCAGACTGGTTTCTTTCATGAGACCGAGATTCCAATTCGAACATATCGGGTCACGAGGTAAACATCCTTTGCGCAAGAGATTTGATGTTCGCGAGAAAGAACTTGGCTACGCCTGTGAGTAGCTGAGCCTATCCATGGGTCAATGACTAAAGTATCGTTAAGATATTATAGATAGTTCTGTTATATGCTGTATTGAATTTTCATACACAAAGCACAATATGGAAAGGTTGGCAGCCTGCCAGTGTATGGATAATGTCCGCTGGGTATCATGTAAGCAAAGAGAGATGCCAAGTATGTGCTCGCTAATCGATAAACAAGGGATGTTAAAAGCTACCAGGGTTGCTTATATACGAGCATGCAGCTCATCCCCGTTGTAGCATGAAAGGAAATGGTACAAAGAACCAAACTGTGCATAGTGTGTTAAAACACTACTGTCGATACCATTTGTGCGTCACTCTGCCAAAGTCTCCCTCAACAGGCTCTCATCAATAGCCTCCGCGTGAATCGCAAAAGGGGCTCGGGAGGCTGGCCGAAAACCCATGACTGGGCCTTTCTGGTTCACGCCAGGGTATCGAAATCGCAGGCTCGGAACTTTGTCAGCCTTGGGGTTTGGCTGTCTATTCGCAGTGGATGGAGGTGTCGTATCGGGTAATACCTGCGACGTCGACGGTATTGGTTGCTCTTGGTCAGGTTTTGTGTCACCAATACCTGCTGCGGGTGCATTTCCCAGATGCTCTCGCATCCATCCACCTACGCGGCGGGTGAGGGAAATCTTCCGGGTAGGTGTCCCAGTGGGGTCCAAGTGGCCACCTATTGCTGACCCTGTCTCGGATTGCTTACTAGCAGCCATTGAAGCAAGTAGCGTTTGCGAAGACTGGTCAATTTTTGAAGGCTCTCTATTGGCGGTGACTCTGCTCGTTGAGAGCACTGGGTTGGAGAACCGATCGTTACTAGAGAAGATACGGCGCGGTACGCGAGCAGATAAGGGCCTCGAGATGTCCTCCATCCGCGATGGACGTCGACTGGGAGTATGGATGTCCATGCCTGCAACAGAGAACAAGCTCTCATGCGATTGTTTACGCCTTGAGCGATAAGGGGAAGCAAAAACATCATCAGGCGCAGGAGAAAAGGCCCTCTCAGAAGTGGCGTAATGCAAGGAGTCCTCCCGTTCCTCCGGTATGACAGGCTGGAATGCATCCCCAAGACCTTTGCTGAAAACACCATCATCCAAAGGATCGACCGAAACATCCGTTTCAGGAGACCGAAAACTAGCATCATAACAGCTGCTTTTTCGTCGACTAACCCTTAATGGCGAAAAGGCCGTGCTGTCGGGGCTCGTAGCTCGCGAGGAATCAAACCCACGCTCTACTCTATCAAATATAGATGACGACCGATATCCGGACTGCGGTGAGCTCGCTATGGACTCAGCCCCGGGCGACTGCGAGGACCAGCGTTGAGAAGCCGAGGGAATCTGTAGGGAGGGCTGGGACATCATTGTGAATGCAGAAGAGTGTGAAGACTGCGACCGGTGCGTTGGTTTGCGAGCTAATTTCGTACCAGAAGGAGAGTGTACAGTATTCGGATGCCCCCAGGTATGTCTGTTCTTGGAACGTCGGAAGAGCGCGGGCCTCTCCTTTTTGATAGATGGCGTATGATAATGGTGGTGAATGTGGAACTCTTGCGGTGCCTGGCGCGGTTCCTTGGACTCAAGTTCTTGACTCAATGTCGGTGCAAGTTGCGGCACTTGCCCATCACCTTCTGTCATTGGGACCAACTGGTGCGAGATAATCTGATCCCGCAGACACTGCACCTCTTGGTTCGAACTCTCTAGCAATTCCCGTAACTCAACGATTCCTAATTGCAAATTGGCATTATCCTGTAATATGTCCCGGACAAAGCGGGACACCACGGTTCCCCCGTGACTCCTGCCCAACTCATGAGTCGCCGCGGCTCCCTTTAGCCGTCTAGCAGCGCCATCCAGCTCCCGCTCAACGGTCCGTTTCTTCTCCATGCGCTGGACTGCTTCGGCATGGCGCTCGCGTTCCTGCTGTGCCTCCTTCTCGATGCGGTCGATTTGATCATGGAGATCCCTTAGAGTACTTTCCGCCTTCTTCCATCGCTGGACCGCCGATCTTGATTCTTCTTCAGCTGACTCCAGGCTCTCATGGAGCCTGGATTGTTCATTCTCCATCTGAACTAATTGGGCGTCGAGGTCAGCTGCACGAGTAGCTGACACCGTCACTTTGCGAAGCTCAGCTTCGGAATTCTCTAGTCTAACTTCAAGGGACTTGGCATGAGAATCTGCATCAGCGACGGCCTTGTTCAGAATGTCCAGCTGCTCCAACAATCCACGATTCTCTTCGATGATGCGGGCATTTTCGACCTGCACCTCACGTTTCTCGCGTTCTAGGTTCTCAATACTGGTGAGGAACCGATGACGGTCTTCTTCAGCCTCGGCCATGTATGATTCATGACGATGGAGTAAAGCCTGTAATGCAAAAGTTAGTGATGACGAGCTCGTTGAAGTCAACGCTGTAACAGCGTTATCTTGGAAGGCAGCCATGACGGACAACAGCACAATAGGAGAGGATGGGAGACCTAGCGGTCATTAGAGTCGCCATGGGCGGCACGAAGTTGACAGGTCCTCTGTCTCTCTCCCTTTTTTGCTTTTTCTCAATACTTCAGCCCGAAGTCCTCTGGCTAAGGTAACGCAAGGAGGGGTCCGAATCCAAAGGAGAACAAACAATGTGATAGGGGGAGATGAAAACAAAATATGTGGACTTGAGAGTACGACGATCTATGTACTCTCAAGGGACACCAAGTAGGTACAAAGAATGTTGACAGACATCTAGCCAAGAAAGCAAGAAAGCAAAAGCGACGGAAGTCTGGGCCATAAATATGGATGCATCGAAAATAACGAAATGATGACGCAGAGGCCTGATTTCGACCCAAAGCGCCGACAAAGGAACGTACCTGGCCCAATCGAGCAGCCGTAGCGAGATCCTTTTCCAACCCCTCCAGGGCCACATTGTTGTGCTGCAGGAATGCACAGTCATGACGGCCACAGCAACAGCGCAGAGCCGTCGGAGTGGATGAGGAGTGGGTAGGAATGCATGGAACCTGACTAGCAGGAACCGGGCTATGCGGACGGGATTCCATGGCTGGGATTAGAATGCGACTTTGCCCAAGACTGTGTGTGAGTTGGCACCCCTTGGAGTGGCTAGCTGAAGCGGAGGCGCCAAATCATCGGGCTGAGCTGTCGATTTCCAGTGGATCTGAGGGGTCAATGAGGGGTGGAAATGAGATCAGTACATCTCCACCATCAAACTCAGTTGAAAAGCCATGTAAAGGAAAGCCTCCGATGGCTGTTGTTAATGGATCGCAGTTGACAGTAGTAAACTATGAATGGAAACGTAACTTGGAATGGAAGAGTAAGTAGTTTGTTTGGCAGGGAGAAAAAAGGCGGAGAAGACTGTCGATAAGTTCTTCAATCAGAGCGCTGATTGGCTACAAAGAGAGTTCCAGTCACACACGGTTCTTTACCCGCAATGTTCCACGAGTTACGCAGATGATAGCGGATATCACTCGCCTCATTTACAGTACCATTACTTGCAGGTACTGTACTGGAGGAACGAAAATAGCAACGGTACCACTAGTAGTTCGTCTAACTT